GATGGATGGATGGATGGATGGATGGATGGATGGATGTCGTGATCATGGGCGTGATGTGACTGTTTAAGGACCAACCATGGTACAGGAAGTAACCGTCTGACCAACAGGCCCAGTTGGACACATTCACTAACCTTAGCCTTTTAAAGTCTAAAAACAGGTTTGATTTCTGGGTAACAGGAGGAAGATCTCAATTTGTCAGACAGATAGTGATAAAGCACACGGCCACATTGATCTGACGTATTTATCTGCATTAGTCCAATCTGGTGTGCAGGTTGAAGGGCCAAGTGACGCAGCCATGCACGAGCTGGAAGTCAGTGTGCAAACAGAAACACCTTCAGCCTCAGTGGAACGCTTTGAAACTAAATCAATATTTGCCTTTGGCGTCTGACCTCAGCCGTCTCCGCTCCTCCTAAGCGTCAGAGTCCAACCCCAGTTATCAGGGCCTGGTACAGGCGGTACTGGCTCCGGGCCCACTCACTCTCACACTCAGCCTCTGAAGCATAAAGTCCTGCCAATCTGAAATGGGTCTTTGCTTTGGTAGCTGAACCATTTCAAGCACTTTCTGGCTGCTCTGTGTTTAGGATGCCAAGTCAGTGACAAGTTAAAGTGTTTAAAACCCCAAATTTATTTAAGTTCAAAGATTGTTTTTAAAAACAAAGGATGGAGCTAGAAATAAAACAGTGAAGAAAGACAGGAACAAATCAATACTAGAGTAGAAATCACTTAAACACTATCAGGGAAGGGGAAGTGTAAAGGAGATGAGTAACGCAGAAATCCTCCCATTCCTCTGAGGATTCAGCGCGTCCTTCAGCCACCCGCTTCTCTGCCCTTTCCTCCAAATTTGATATGAACTCATTTAGACTTGCTGAGTCACACGTTCCAGCCCAGTTTAGACTCTGGCTTCTAAGCTTCCTTATTCCTGTTCTAACGTCGGCGTCCATTCAAGCAGACTTTTTAGACACAGGAGCCTCTAAAAGCACAACAATGGAGATACAAGAGCTCTGGGAAGATCTTCAAAATGCCATTCCCTACATAATGCCATCCCCTCAAATAATGCCATCCCCTACATAATGCCATCCCCCTCATATAATGCCATCCCCTACATAATGCCATCCCCTACATAATGCCATCCCCTCACATAATGCCATCCCCTCACATAATGCCATCCCCTCACATAATGCCATCCCCTACATAATGCCATCCCCCTCACATAATGCCATCCCCCTCACATAATGCCATCCCCTCACATAATGCCATCCCCTACATAATGCCATCCCCTCACATAATGCCATCCCCTACATAATGCCATCCCCTACATAATGCCATCCCCTACATAATGCCATCCCCTACATAATGCCA